TTTGCAAGGGGTCAAAAGTTAGAGCTATCATGAAAGATGATCCCAAAGTTCAAATTCGGGGGAGCCAGTGTGGGCTGTCCATCCAGTGTGCTTATTCAACTTGGGCATACAACAGACAGCAAGGCAAAGTTTACTTCTGCAAAAGGCATTCTGAGTTGGTGTTCTCAGGATACCTTAATTTCCCCAGGAATTTCCAACACAAATCTTCCATGCCATTTCATGAGGGATCCTAGGAGCCCCTCAAGAGGAGAGACACCCTGCCATCCTGTTGAGGCAGTCTCCTGCATGGGCTAAACCTGCCATCCTTTGTAGCTGACAATGGACCTGAGATGTAAAATTAATCCACAACATCAGGAAGGGGTCCAAATAGAGGTCCAAGCAAGCAACCTCATGCATTGGCCTCGGTAGAAAAAAAATGAAAATATGAATACTGCTTTGGTGGTTGTGTGTTTGCAGGGGCTGTATGAGAGAATTGTTTTAGATTCAGTCTCTTAAATTCTTTTTGACGAAGAGTCTTAACCTGCAATTTCATTTGTCCAGCTGGGTAAGAATGAAATGTTGGATATGGAGTCATCTCTGAGAAAAATCTCTAGTAAGGGAGTTAAGAAAAGGGGTGAACAAGAGTTGAAACGAAACCCAAGATAATTATTGAAATGTTTTTTTTTTCTTTCTTGTGATTGTTTCTCACATATTTATAAGATGATTTCTTTGCTTTGTATGTTCCTCCCCCACGGTATAACCCCTGCTTACACAGTATTTGATGTTGGTATACTTTGTGGAGGGGAAGGGTAAAAACAAATCATTTAAATAGGGATACAGGAGGACCTCTTGCGACAATGAGATGTACAAGTCGATATGATGAAACCAAACTTTTTTTTGTGGGGGAGGGAGATGGGAAGGGATTGGGAAGAGGAAACAAAGGAGGAGGCAACAATGCTTGATAAGAAATGTACTCATGACCTTGCCCATGTAATTGTAACCCCTCCGTATGGTATTTCACAATAAAAAAAAGGCAGTCTGAAAATGCAGAGTGCACCAAAAAAAAAAAAAAAAACAAACCTTACTCCCATTTCAGCATGTGTCTGTGATTTGTGAATTCTAAACCTAGGAAGCCCAGGAAAATTGGAGCTAACAAGGATCCCTCACATATTTTTTATATTGTTGTCTTTTAGGAAGAATGTGTGGAAAAATATGAAAACTGATTTTTATTTTATATGAAGGCTGAATTTTATTTTTGAGCTCTATATTTAATGTGCACTTGTTAAATCTTGTATATCCCTGTCTCTATGTAAATAGCTTCAGAAGGATCTGGTACAGGCATTCAGTAATTAACTGACTTAATAGCAAAAGGTTCTTGAAATTTTGTTACTTACAATGTTCCAGGTCTAACAATTTATTATTGCTGTTACATTAAAAAACTTCATATAGGATTATTTTTCCTGGATATTTAAAAGAATGTTATGTAAGTTTGAAAGTTTTATAAAAGGAAAAACCAGCAAGTAGAGGAAACATGGAAATTATGAGTACATGTTTTTGGAATAGCTCTATAATAGGCCAGTCAAGATTGATTTAAGGGCTGAGAAGGTGGCTCAATGGTAGAGTGCTTGCCTTGCATGCAGGAGGCCTTGGTTTCAATTCCTCACCACCACATAAGCAGAAAAAAGCCAGATGTGGTGTTGTGGCTCAAGTCATAAAGTGTTAACTTTGAGCTGAAGAGCTGAGGGGCAGTACCCAGGCCCAGCATTCAGGATCCATTACCTACAAAAAAAGTTTCAAACAGCCTTGGGTGAGGAAAATGGGGTGGGGCGAGGGATGATTTAACATCTAAGCAATTGTGTAAAAACAAAAACAAATTTTAATGGGAGGTCTGTTGTCAGACCTTATCAAGCATGAATGTCAGTACTTAGAATGCCAGAACAAGGTCAGCCTGGATATGTCATAACCTTCCTTTTTTCTGGATGTTTGTTTTATTGCAAAAATGATGTGCAGAGGGGTTACAGTTACATGAGCAAGATAATGAGTACATTTACTATTATAAAGATAAACTCTGTTTATACCCTGGATCTTCCAGGGTAATTGAAGAGGTGGGAACCACATGACCTCAGTTGAGCCAGGCCCACTACTTAATCAGTCAGCTCAAACCTGCCAACTATTAAGGAGCAAAGTTGGATCATCAAAGGAAAAAATAAAATCCAAAAGCAACTTTAAGTCCTAGAAAGTGTCTGGTATTACAGAGGACCAGTATTGGAGACCTTACTGGCCAACTGGGTTGGAAACTGCACTTTGGTTCAACATACATCCATTTTACTCAAGCTATTTGAGAATGGCCAGGTTGAGAAAATGCTAACATCAAGTAAGAAGTGAGATTCATCCTCAGAGTCTTCCAACTGTCATATTTGTGTAGATGCTATTGGGGTCTCCCAAAGAGTTCCTAATCAAAACCTGCTATTTGATTTCTAGCTTTAAACTGGTAATACCTATAAAATGTAGATTGGGTTAGATCCATTAGTTGATTGGATTAGATTTATTATCAGCAGAGCCTTGGTAATTATACTAGACATCAAGGTAATAACAGAACAACTAAGTGCCACTAGTAGGATGACATTGAAAGACTAGCTCTAGGTATATAGGCTGGAAAGGGAATTATCTCTGTGGTGATTAGAAACCAGTGCTGCACAATGGCCTTACATAGATTGAAGGCTGGCAAAAGGTGAACCATTTACTAGCTTGTTGATCAATAATTTGGAAGACAGAGGAATAGTGTTGTCCAAATTTGCCTCTAGCACTTGTTTTCATAGCAATGCCTCTGTTGGTGGCTGTAATTATGAGGGCAAAACAAAGACCCATTTCTTAAATATTCTCCCTTTGGATACTGCTGAATGGGAAAGTCTGTTAAAGCTGACTATGTTTGAAAAAAGATAAAACAAGGCAGGACTGTAGGAGTTAGAATCTTTTCTACCAAAGTGCTTGACATAAGCATTGCCTTTTAAAGGATAGATGCTATCTTACAAGAAGCTAAGACTGCTTTTCTGACAAACTTTGACCAGATATCCTGGTTTTATCTAGTTTGAAAGTTTATCTGAGCAAGAAAGATTATGATCCCAAAGTTCTGATGAGTGAGAGACATGGTGGACTGCCTGCTCAGCATGCTTGCTTGGCTTCCTGTCAGTATCAGATTCTTCTGCAGAAGTAAATTATGCCTTGCTGGGTTCCTTTTGAGTTGGGATATCAGGTGTCACATAGGAGAAATCATCAAGATATTTCCAACAACTGCTCTGATGAGCTTAAACTTATTTGGGATAACTTTGGAAAAGCACAATTTAAAACTGTATATTAATTATACATAGGGATTTTACTGTTACTTCCATGTATACAAGGTTTACTTTTTACAGAATTTGATCACTCTTCCCCTTTTTATGGCCAGCTTTATGGAACATACTTCAATTATCTTCATCTCTATCACTTTCACCTTTCCTGTTCCCCATCTGGCCGGTTATTGCTCCAGTCTGTGGGTTCTTGTTTGCCTTGTATATCTTTGGCATAAGTTATTGTAAGCAAAAATACTTACAGAAAATAGACTAAAGACTGTGCTAACAAGGTTTAAAAGTCTTAGAATGGAAGAAGCATTATGTTAACTCGGATATGTCTATCTTCAAACTTTTCTGTTTTCATTCTTTTCCATGAGGGGCCTGCTTTCAAATCTGAAGTGTTTATTATTATTTTCTGTTTAACCATTGAATCATAAGCATCTCCCATTACTTATTCTGAAAATGTAGGCACCCATTGGTGGTGAGCCTGCCTGTTAGTGAGCAAGGGTAGTTTTCATTTTATTATAGCTTTGGTTCTGGTTATCATTTTATCTGCTTCTCCCTCTGCAATCTGCTTTTTGCTCTGCAGTCTTTCCTGGAATAAAGCTGAGCAGTGGCAGAGCAAGTAGTCAAATGCTATGTTCACTCAGTGTGCTAGTCAGCAATCTGCAAAGTAGGTATGTGCTCACGGTGGTCCATTGAGGCATGGTGAGAAACTATTATGTAAGTTATACATACACACCAGGAAGTAATCTGTCTTTAGCAGTGATGTCATGAATACAAGATTTTGAAAATATTTTGGGGACTTTTCTACAATTAGGCTGGAGTTAATTTTATGTTGCTATTACAAATACTTGACAGTCACCTTAGAAATGTTTATTTTGGCTCAAAAATTTTGTGGTTCCAATCTATAATTGGGAAGACCTACTGTGTTAAGGCCTCCTATGTGGAGGATGGGGATGACAAGATGGGTGTATGTTGTAGGAAATCTATTCACTTCATGGTCAAGAAAAATCTGGGGTCCTATTTTTCACTTCAAGGACACACCCTACATAACCAGAAGACCTCCCATGACACACCCTAAATAACCAGAAGACATCCCACTAGGTCTTACATTCTCATTTGCACCATCTCCAAGAAGCTAAGGGCTGAGTCTTTAAAACACAGGCATTAGGTGGACACTTAAGATCCAGCCTATAGCATTACATTATGAACAGTAATGTGCATATAAATTATTTGGGAGTTTGAAGTGTAGCTTCAGATTCAATGGGGCTGGGGCTGCTGAGAATTTTTGAGTTTCTAATAGGTTCTATATTAACACATGTTTGGGTTTGGGGATTACTATTAGAGTAACACTGCTCTTTGTACTGCATTTGTGCCATAAGCTTCAAGTATTCAGTCAGTGTCTTAACACTGGAGGAATGAGAACAAGCAAAAGAAGATACATAGCTATTAGGCCCCTAAAAGCCACAGAAGATAGGCAAAGAGGTAGCTTAAACACTAGCACAGATTTATTTGGAAGAAAAGTCTACAGAGTTAGCCCTGGCTGGTCAATTGAATAAACTATCTTTTAAGATACTGGTCAGAGTCTGTGATTTTGTCCAGGGGTCAGTCCACTTCATCTGGAGGCCCCAGTGAGATCCTATTCTCACCTAAACAGGACGACCCCTGTCACGACCTGACACCTGTGTCAGGGGACAGGCCACATGGGCGCACCTAGTGGAAGACCTCTGAGAGACATTCCTCAGCCCCAGGTGCCCTTGCTCTGTGGAACCCCTGAAATGGACTCTGGAGTTTGTTCTACCAGTAAGTTTCTGCCTGTCATCATCATGTAAAAACATGAGTTGTTTTAAACTCCCAAGAAAAGTCATCAAGTTTTGGTGTTAGCAAAAACTTGAAAATTAAAGTTCCTCTTCAAAATAATGCAATAATCCTTTACATTTTTGATAAATCAGACAACCTGATTGCAATGAACAGCTTAATGCATTAAAACACCAGATCTTTGGTTTTCTGTAATATCCGAGTTACTATTCACTGGCAGAAATTTCTTCCTGTTTTCTGGTCTCAGTTCCTCCTGCAGTTAGAAATGTATTTTCTCCCCTTTTCCCTGGGAAAAGAATAGCCATGGGTACAAACCTGTGAAATCAGAAAACAAAACAAAATTATTGATAAAGGGCAAAAACCTCCTGGTAACGAAAAACCCCAGACAAAGCCTGACAGTCCTCAGCTTTTGTCCTTTCCTCATCCTTGACAAAAAGCAAAAGAACATCGCTCCCTCACTCAAGTTTACCAAACTGGCAACTTTGCAAAAAGCTATTGACAGCTGAGACTTATCACCAGCTGCATTAAAATGCTGTGTTAGGAGCTTATAATGAAAATAATTTCTAAAATAGTGTCAATAACTTTGATAGTATTGATCATGATGACCAAGTCAAGATTATGTTTTGCCTATGCTCCTGTGACTCAAGGCTATGTTTCTGCCATGTTTTGCTTCTGTAATAATAAAATCACAAGTTTCAGTGAGTTTATAAGTGGTTAAACACCTGTCTGGCTGAAAAGTGGCTCATCTGGAGAGAGCATGGAATATTCTAATTCCTGAGTGATGTCCTTTTATAATCCATAATCTAGGAGTAAACTTCTTCTGAGGATTGTGAAGCATCCTAGAAAATGATCTAACAAAGAAGGGATGATGATTGACATCTGAAGGGGGACAATCTTGTAAGGTTCAGCCCTGAAGTGGATGGACCTGATGATTTATCAATATGTACCAGAGAACTGAATTACATATTTTTGAGAAAAAAACCCACAGATCTCCAAAAGAGTTGAGTGTGAGAATAAAGTTATCTTTTCCCTATATTTGGGCACAAAAATGTAATGGAGAACAGTACTTCAGAAGCTAAGAGAAGGTAAAAATGTGAAGCCCAATGACCAGTGAATAGTTAGCTCCAACCTGCACTTTAGTGTTGATTCCTAGCCCAATTTGCTTTCTTTTTAGTTGGCTTTTTTCTAAGTTTTAGTAGCAGTTTCTATATATAGTGAATTTTGTTGACCGTATGTAAAGTTCCCCAAGTTCCTCTTCAGAGACCTGACATGGAAACTGTCAAGAAGAGGAGACCATCTGTCCCAACTTAAGTGCTCCTGTTCCAAGGAAGATTCCCCAAATCTGAAGCCTGTTATTGGAATGGGGGTGGGGTTGCAAGGTTACTCTTTGGAGGCCATGTGAATCAAAATGTCTACCATTCTGGTTTTTCACCCTGCTGATTGTCAGTGTGAAATCTGTGATTGACCTACTACCACTGGATTTGTCTGGGACTCTGCTTTCTCGGTTGGAAACCCAATAGATCAGTCGCTGTGGAGACTGGCCTGGCTTCTGCATGAACCAACACAAATATGTTTTTCCGTTACTGTACAGGACGCTCTCACTAGACCTGCAGGAGATGGAGGCCTGATCTCCAAGGGTGACAGGCAGGGAGAGTGGAGTTTGGGTCAATAGAGCAACCCCACCGGATCCTAAAGAGAGAAGTGGACAAGGTTAATTGCAAGTTTCTTTCCTAACTAATACTGGACTATAAATTTTAAATAATGTTTCATGATCCAAAATCTTCATTAAACACCGCACACACAACACACACACACACACACACACACACACACTGATAGTTGTAAACCATGAGGACCTCTAGAATTTACCAGCACTTTCTGCTTATCTAGTCCTAAGCAGAACAAGGTTCTTTGGTCCTTCTGGAATCTTCCTCACTCTCACAGATACATATATCATCTACCCATCCAGGAGGGAAAATGTGCACCTCTCACGAGTGGATACATCACACATGGGAAGAATCGGGCACCAGAGCTCAGCCCCTCCCCATCTCCTTCCTCAGCTCTGGTGTGTTCTTACCTGGGATCCAGAGCATGAGCAGCCCCAGGAGTTGAGCAGGGCAACTCATTCTGAGAGTAAGCAGTCCTTGTCAGCCCAGGCAAGCTTAGAGCTGATCTTTTATGGTGGACTTGCAGAGAAGCTCCTCCCCAGGGAGCAATATGCAAATATCCTGGTGAGTGCAGTTGTGAGAGACAAACTGTCAGAAGAAAAACAAAGTGACACCAGGAGGGTGGGGTCTCTCCTGGTAGTAATAGTCATTAACTATGATCAAGAAACTTGGAAAAAATTATATTAATGAAGTAAGCCAGTCTCAAAGAAACAAAGGCCCCATGGTTTCCCTTATCTGCAATAACTAGTATATGTCTAGGACAAGCAGAAGTGGTCAAAAGCTATGTACAAATGACCGTATAACCTGATACTAAGCCAATGAACCCCAAGAAAGGGGCACAAGAGATTTTATCTTTCTTGTTGTTCTTTTTAATGTACTAATAATGTACTTTGTGAGTTTTTCTTTGTATGTTTTTCCTCCATTGTACAACCCTTGTTTTCACTGTATTTGATTCCGGTGTCCTGCATCTTGTATATACCTATTTCTAATTTGAGGAAGGGAAGGGAAATGACAAAATGCTGAAATAAGGATACAGGATGACCATTGTAACAATAAGATGTACATGACACTATGTTGAAAACAAACTTTACAACTTTGCTGGTGGTGGGGGTTAGAGAGGAAGGAGTTGGAGAGAAAAGGAATGGTAAGGGAAAACAAAAGAGGAAATGGACTCATTACCTTGCTCATGTAATTGTAACCCCTATGTACAGTACCTTCACAATAAAAATACATATTAAAAAAGAAAGGCAAAAGGTGGTAGGAGGTTTGGGTGGAAGGGCAGGGGGAGGATGGGAAGGGATGGTAAGGGGAATCAAAGGAGGAGGCTACAATGCTTGATAAGAAATGTACTCATTATCTTGCTCATGTAATTGTAACCCCTCTGTACAGTATTTTCACAATTAAAATAAATAAATAAATAATAAAACGAAAGGCAAGAGAGATCTTATATGTGTTCTCTAGAGAGGGACATGCCTTCATGATTCCTCCTCTTTGCCTGCGCCCTAATTCTTCAACCCTTTTCAGGCATGTTTTACAGTTTTCTTAAATAAAGATGCCTTTTCATTAAGTAGTGAGTCATTCTTATTTAGTTTCTAGATATTTATTGAAAAGTTTAAGTTTGGTCACTTTATTTTATTTTTTATTGTGAAATTTTATTACTATAAAATAACTAACACCTGTAACCCTCATAGTTTTTAGATAAATAGCAATGGAAGGGATGTTACTCAACTGATTTTATGGAACAAGTATTACACTCATTCCCAAAAGAGAATTCCAACAACAAAAAAGAATTATAGACCAATCTTTTTGATGAACTTAGGCACAATAAGTCTCAATAAAATATTTGCAAATCAAATTCAGCTTCACATTAAAAGATCATAAAACATGATCAAGCATATCGGTTTCTATGCTGAAAAAAAGAAATTCTCACTATATAGAAATCAAACATAATGCAGGACTTAAACAGAATCAAGGTTTAAAAAATAGCATGATTACTTTAACTTATCCAGAAAAGCTTTTGACAAAGTTCAACATCCTTTTTATGATACAAATTCTAATGAGGCCTGGGAATGTGGCTTAGTGATTGTGTTCACTTAGCATGCATGAAGCCCCAGGTTTGATTTCTCAGTAACAGATAAACAGAAAAAGCTGGAAGTGGAGCTGTGACTCACGTAGTAGAGTGCTAGTCTTGAGCAAAAGAACCTCAGGCACAGTGCCTAGCCCCTGAATTCAAGTCCTGGTATGGCAAAAATAAATAAATAAAATTGCAATAACTAGTATATGTCTGAGACAAGCAGTAACGATCAGATAATTTGATGTTAGGTGAAATGAACCCCAAGATCAGGATTCAAATGTTTTTTTCTTTCTTTTGTCTGTTTCTAACATATTTATAAGATGATTTTTTTGTTGCTTTGTATGTCCCTCCCGCATGGTGTAACACCTGCTTTCGCTGTGTTTGAGGTTGGTATAATTTGTGGAGGGGAAGGGAAAAATCAAATCATTTAAATAGGGATACAGTTGGACCCATTGCAACAATGAAATGTACAAGACGTTATGTCAAAAAACGATCTTTACAACTATGGCCAGGTTGGGGTGGGAGGGAAGAGTGGGATGGTGGGGGAAGAAGGGAAGGGATGGGAAGGGGAAACAAAGGAGGAGGCAACAATGCTTAATAAGAAATATACTCATTACCTTGCCCAAGTAATTGTAACTCCTCCTTACGGTATTTTCACAATTAAAAAATATATATTCCATAAAAATATTTTAATAATGAAAAATGAGGAAATTGTCAAATGTGATGAGAAGCCAACTGTATTTTATGTCCATTGACCAACTTTGTGGTGTTTTCCCTATCAAGTAACAAAGATAATTTTACATTTCGCTGTAGAAACTTGGATCCATAAGTATATTTCAACAAGGAATGTGATGGTTAAAAGCCATCAAGTTCTTTCCACAGAGCACACTTAATTTCCAAGAAAAAATAATGCAGCTAAGAAAAATCAAACAAACATTACCTTAGAATAGAATTGAAGTGAATATCATCAGTAATGGAAATGAGTGACAACAGTGACTTTCAAGTGGATATCCTGGGAAGAACTCAGAAGTACTGCTGTACATTCCTCTAAGCATGGATTATTGAGTCTAACCTTGATGGAAAGTGCACAAGTCCACACCAAAGGACCTTCAGGAATATAAGGGGTTGTGATTATTAAGACTGATAAGATCAAGGGACTGAAAAGACTTTGGAAGATTTCCAGGGAAGAGGGGGAAAGGCAGATCTAAGACAATCTGACCTAGACTGAACTATTATGTGACAAAAGAGAATGGGGGATAATTGTCAGTGTTTGACATGAGCCTAAGAAAGAATTAGACTTGTATATTAAGGTTATCTTCCTGGGGTATGAATGCTGATTTCTTATTTGTTGCAAATAAATAGAAATACACAAGAGAGTATATTTCTTACTTCTTCAATTTGCTTCAGATGGTTCAGGGAAAATCTACTTTGTGTTGTACTTTTAACATTTCTTCTTGAAATAGTTTCCCTTTAAAAACTCAAATAGCACTTGTTGAGTACAGACTGAAGATGTTCTAACACCTTTAACAAGGTGGCCTTGTCTCATTCTTATAGGCATTAAAAATAGTAATTAGCCTGGCATGGGTAGCTCACACCTGTAATCCTAGCTACTTAGTCTGAGATCTGAGGATCACAATTTAACGATCGTTTAGGCAAGACAGGCTGTAAGACTCTTATATTCAATTAAGCACCAAAAAAAGCTGAAAGTGGAGCTGTGGATCAAATGGTAGCGTGTTAACTAAGAACAAAAAACTTAGGGACAGTGCCCAAGCCCTGAGTTCAAGCCCCAGGACTGACACTACACACAAAATAACAATATTCGTGGGCTGGGAAGGTGGCTCAGTGGTAGAGTGCTTGCTTTGCATGCCTGAGGCCCTGGGTTCGATTCCTCAGCACCACATAAGCAGAAAGAAAAAAGCAGTAAGTGGCGCTGTGGCTCAAGTGGTAGAGTGCTAGCCTTGAGCTGAAGAGCTAAGGGACAGTGCCCAGGCCCAGAGTTCAGGCCCCACGACCGTACCCCCCCAAAAAAACAAAAAACAATATTCGTGTTATCTTTTTTCTTTTTCCAAGTACAATTTAAGACCCTGGAACTGAATCCTGCATTATGAAAAACAGGAATCCCTGGGTCCTACAAGACTCTCTGACAATAAATCCTCCATTCGTGGTCTCAGAGAAGCCTATCTAGGATATGATCCTGAGTTGCAGAAAGAGCAGGGAGGAGAGTGATTAAGGATAAAGATGGAAGCAGTGTGATTAACAGTGTAATTGGACTACCAGCCTGCAAGTGATAATCAGAATTTGGGCAATCATTGTCTGAACGGACAATGTCAGAAAGTACTCTGTGCACAGTGAGTGGTCTCAGAGGAACTTGTGAGTAACAGTTCAAAATCAGCTGATACTGATTAGCGTCATTGGACACCTTCACATTTCTGTTCTCAATTTTTTTCTATAAACTTTAGTTACAAACAGCATTCTGATTTATTAAATAACACTTAATTCTCCAAAAAGAATATCTATGATGCAAAGTGTGTGAGCACACATACAGCTACTTAAAGCATATTGACGATCATCAGTACCAATTTTGATGCTATTGTCTTTATTTGTTGGGACTGAAGTTTGTATTCAGGAATTCAAACAATCTTGGTAAATGACCACATTCCAGCACTTTGACTCTAGCACATTTTTGAGGGAGAATCTCACGCTTTGTTCTGAGGGTGCTCACAGAACACAGTACTCTTACCTATGCTTTCCATATAATCACAGTTACAGGCTTACAAGTGTGAGGTTTGCTAAATTTTTGCCCTGGCTGCTGAGGAAAAACATTAAAACAACACTGTTTTTTTACCTGCCTCTATTTACATTGTATTGGAAAGGTGACATATGGAGGACTTATAGTTACATGAGTCAGGTAAATAGTACATTTACTTTTGAACAGTGTCACATCTTCCCTCCTTTCCTCCCAGTTTTGCCTTTTGAAATTTGAAATCATCTGTGGAACTCCTCATTTTACAGTATTGAGATCTCCATGAAGAGCATACGTGTCCAGTGAAATACGACATTTAGGGAAGTGTGAGGCATGGTGGTTCCATAATCATAGCTAGCAGGAAACCAATGAACCTGACAGGGCTTACGTGTCCCCAAAAGCACATGGCCTTTTGCTTGCCCTGGTTGAGATTCATGTTTTTTTTTTTCTTTCTTGCAGTTGTTTCTAACATATTATAAGATGATTTCTTTGATGCTTTGTATGTCCCTTCCCCATGGTATAACCTCTGGTTTCACTGTATTTGATGCTGGTATAATTTGTGGAGGGGAAGGAAAAAAAAACAAATTGTTTAAATAGGGATACAGGTGGACCTATTGCAACAATGAGATGTACAAGACATTATGTTGAAAAATGAACTTTACAACTTTGGCAGGGCTGTGGGTGGGGGTGGGAGGAGTGTATTGG